ACCAAACCTAGAGTCCTAGAAGTGGCCTCTGAAATCATCAGGTGGAAATGTCTTTAATTTTTTTCTAGCAAACTTAACAAATCTGCGTACACCTGAATTTATCCTCCCCTTGTCCCAATAAAGAAAGATTTCTTCATTCCTTTCGGAGCCTCTGCCTTATCTGAATCCCATCCTCTCCTGTCTTTAAAAAAAAAAAAAAAAAATTCTTTAACTTGTATCCTTGAGGTGTGTGGAATTATTTAGCCAAAAGTGCCCATAGTTTAAAACTGCTTATCTTCAGGTAATCATTATTATTGGACCTTTCCATTACCTAAATGTCGAATACTCTTTTAAGTTTCCAGTTGTCATCACAAGAAGCAGTAATGTTTATGGACCACATCAGTATCCAGAAAAGGTACTTTTTACTTCTGAATTCACAGTGTGTTTTAGTGATTGTAATTTATTATTTAAAATAATCTCTCTTCAGTTATTTGTCCAAAATTTATGTTGTAATTATACATAATTTATAAATACTATATAGGCCACATGCAGATCTCATCAGGTTTAGAGACTGAAGACTTGAGCTTAAGTCTCAACCTGATAATCACCAGCTATCATGACCTTAGACTCTTTGAGCATTGTCTTTAAATTGAGGAGTAATAATAATCTTAAAAAGGATTTCGAAGGATCCAGTTAAGGTGATATATGTGAAAATGCCTTGTATCTTGTAGGATTCTCAAGCACTGTAGAGTACTCCTTTGACTACTGTCACACTGCAGTTTAGACTTCTGGTTTGCAGTAAGACAAATATGTCGGGCTGTACAGGAATATAAAAGCTAGTTAGAGTGTGATGCATGGAGCCTGTACAGAAATTTGTCTTACAGTCAGCTGGTTAACGATTTCCCAACTCCTCTTTATTGCAGGACTGAATGTCTTCCAGAAATTAGTACAAATAGTAAATAAAGAAATGTAGTTAAAAGACTGAAAATGCCTGTGTAGTTGGTTCTGTATCATTAAGCCCAGTTTTAAGTAACTATTGCTCTCTTTGCTTAAATTCAGAGACTGGGTTTTTCACTTTGCAGCTTGTTGCATTAATCTTTTTGCCCAAAGGAAAGGGTCGTATCATGATCTGCTGGTATTAATAACTACTTTGCTTAATTTTTGGAATATCTTTAACAAGTTTATTATAAATTTAGTAATTTATCTCACCCTGTTTAACATAAATTTTCTTTGAATCCAATTGCACTGGAATTTATTTTTTAATTAATTTCGCAAGCACTTATCGAGTAGGTGCTATATGTTAAGCAATAACTAAGACAAAAGTGAGATTTGTGACGAAAGCAAATTGTTCATGAAGACTTTTTCTGAATTTTTCCACTATTTATACTGTTTTATTTTATATTTTTTTTGGCAGATAACTTGTTTTTGTGAAATAGGAAGCTGTCTAATAGTTTTTACTTATCAAAATTATATAGATATGTGTTTTTTCTTGAACTCCTAATAAGAATTGGAATATATCCATATGTATATTTCCTAACAATAATGTTTTAATCTTATGATGAGTTCAGATTCATATTATTGAGCAAACTTACTAAGTCTGAAATGATATTTAAATATTCTTTTAGGTTATTCCAAAATTTATATCTTTACTACAACACAACAGGAAATGGTATGTTATTATTTACCTTTGTACCCATATGTTTTTCTGGTATGTTGATAGTAGTTGGTGACAGTCTTTCTTGAAAATCGTAAAGTCTTAGAGTTGAAGGCCGTAGAATTGAATGTCTCAAAAAATTTAAGAATTCCTTCTATGATCAGTGTAATAGTTCTTAAACTAATTATAATCCAATTCATCTTTATAATTTTAGTTCTTAAATGCTTTATCCTAGAACTTTGAGTTATAGTATAAAATCTGTATGTAACTTTACTTTTTTCAAAGGATTTATTTAATTCATAGAACTGTAGATATTTCTTCAAAATGAATTTAAGGTATTTAGTTAATAAGTAGCTGTCATGGTCATTTACATGATTGCCACTTTTCTACTGAGTACCCTCAGAAGGTTTGGAGATCATTGAAGAACTATGGATAAAATTTAGAAAAGTCATGAGAATTTGTGTTTTTAGTAAGAGATTTCTAGGATCGCCATGGGAATTGGCTTCTCTGGAGTTGTGCCCAGTTGTATCCTGGCTTGGGAGAACTTACTTTTTTACATTTTATGACTCCCTTTTATTTAATCTTTTTAGCTGCATTCACGGATCAGGGCTTCAAACAAGAAATTTTCTTTATGCTACTGATGTAGTGGAAGCATTTCTCACTGTCCTCAAAAAGGGGAAACCAGGTGAAATTTATAACATTGGAACCAATTTTGAAATGTCAGTTCTCCAGCTTGCCAAAGAACTGATACAACTGGTATGTATACATTGTAAAAGGATAGTATTTTTAAAATTGTCACTACATTAGTGACAGTAATCACTAATTTAGTCAAAATTAACAATTTTCAGCTTATTCAGTTGAATGAGTAATAAATTCATAATTATATATACCATATGTTTGCTAAGATATATCATTGTGACATTATATCACGGCTTTTCAGGAAGAAAAATCCAGTACATTAAAGGTACATACCTAATAAAAGACATACCACAGTTTCAGAAGTGTAAAATTATGTGTCCTAGAATCAAGGAACAATGATATATAAATTAGTTGTGAGTGTATGTATGTATTAGTGAACATAAATGATAAATCTCAAGGGAGAATGAGTGTATGGGAAAACTTTTGTTTTCCTTTACACTACTCTCAGAATACTCTTTTCTCCAAACGTGTGGATTTTCCACACCAAGCAGTCCTCAGATGCTAGCTGGGTGTCTTAAAATTTAACTCAATTCTGGTATCAGTCTACTTGGAGATAGCATCAGGTCCCACAAGTTAAGGGATCAGTCCTACAAAACTGCCTTTACTTCACATGGCAGTTGTAAGATCTGATTGTCACCTGTGCTTCTGACCAAACAGCTATAAATCAGAGGTAATTTGCTAGAGTGGCTTACAGAACTCAGGAAAACAGTTTACTTTCTGGATCATCAGTTTATTATACAGGCTATAACTCAGAACAGCCAGTTGGAGGAGATGCATAAGGCAAGTTAGGAGGAGAGGAGCATGGAGAGTCTGTGTCCTCCCTGGGCATGTCACTCTCCCAGCACCTCCACGTGTTCAGCGGAAACTCTCCACACCATGTCCTCTTGGATTTTAATTCAGTAGGCACAATTGATGGACTGATTGGTCATTGATGATGAGTTCAACCTCCAGTCTCTTTTTCCCTTGAGGGTGCTGAGTTTCATCCCTTTAATCGCATGGTTGGCTCCCCTGTCAATCCTTAGGGCCTTCCAAAATCACTCATTACCATAAATTCTGGTGTGGTCGAAAGGGGCTTATTATGAATATCCAAAAAACACCTTAATCTCTCATCACTTAGGAAATTCCAAGAGTTTTAGGAGCTCTGTGCTAGGAACTGGGATGATGACTAAATATATATTTCTTATTATACATAACAAAATCATACTGAATAATAACCAAAAGCCAAAAAAAATTATTTTCTGCCATAGTATACAATGTAATTCTTTCTGAGCTTCAGATAGAATTTAGGTTATATAGTAGAGAAAGTATTACTAAAATGCTGTTCATTTTAGCTGTCTTTCTTGCTTTGAAGAGGTTGTTAGTCTTATCTTTTGAATCAGCTATTGAATACCATTGTTATTCTCTGGTCTCATTTTATAATTTGACTCAAAAGCCTTCTCCATTTTGACAGATCAAAGAGACTAACTCAGAGTCTGAAATGGAAAGCTGGGTTGATTATGTTAATGATAGGTGAGTAATATGTTAAAACATTAGGAAAAGATTATGAAATCTTAGGTACTTATAAAATTATAAAATATATGGACTTAACCAGAAACTAGTTTATCTGTTTTGATTTTTCTGCTAAAATATTCATTCCTAATTATACATGTCATAAGAATAAAGTGTCCATTATTACTTTCTAAAGCTCAGGTATCCTTAAGTATGAAATAGGGAAAATAATATCTTGCTTTAAAAAAGTATTTTAAAATTTAAATATAATGTATATAAAGTAGCTAACCCAGAGTGTGGATCACAAGAGTCTTAATAAGTTTATGTATATTTATTCATTCATTCATGAAACATTTAGGTATGATGTACTACATTTATATCTACATTGTGGCTGAAATAAGAAAAGAATAAACCGCAGAGGGGATTATGCATCTGGGATTACAGATGATTTTTTTTAAATCTACACTTTATTTTACAAATATTCTATAATGTCATTGGGGAGAATTTTTTAAAGAAAAATTTGAATTATGGTGAAGATTCATAGACACACATTATTTCTCTTAATATTTTAATCCGTATCCACCATGTTGATTAAAATCTGTTTCGTCTTCTAAGACCTACCAATGACATGAGATATCCAATGAAGTCAGAAAAAATACATGGCTTAGGATGGAGACCTAAAGTACCTTGGAAAGAAGGAATAAAGAAAACAAGTATGTTATGAATTGGTCATTTGGGGTGGTGGGGGGTGGGGGTACAAAAATTTAAAGAAAAAGTAATTTATTTTTAGAATGCTACAAAGTCAGCAGAATATTGTAATGAATCATTTTTACTTTTCAGAGTGTTACATTTATATACTTCTAGCAGTAGTAATATTTTTCCTAAGCATCTTGAATTTCATAGACTAACTTTTTGATCAGTCTTCCTATATCTTATCAGCATTGGTTAGATACCTATTTCATTGACTCTCAGATGCACAGTTTTACTCTTTTCATATCCTTGAAAGTTATGTTTTACAATCACTAGTATCTTAAAATTACTATTGCAACTTTTCTTTCTTCGTGGTATCTTAAATAATAGCCCATCTTAAGATCAGTGACACATCTTAGATTTGACGAAATATAGACAGTTGCAGACTTGGAGTATCTTGAGTCTTTTTATATTGAAACAAACAAATAGAAAGCCAACTGACTGTATACAGAAATATTTATTAAAGTACGTGTATAGAAAGTCTGTGTATTTATGTTAAAGTTCTATTTAGAAATTTAATCATGAGAAGAAAAAATACTCAAACAGAAAAAATGTTTTGATTCAGAGCTTAAAATACAAAATACTTGTGTCGAAAATTAAAAAGCAAATTTCAAAGATAATTTACCATTTTTAACTAAAAAAACTTTACCGATAGTATAGCAACATAATATAATTTCATATATATACAGAAGGAAACTTATATGGTCTCACTATGGCTACATGCAGTATTGCTACATTTACATGAATAGAATATGACACTTATTTTCTATAACTTTAAAACAAATGCATATGAGTTATCTCCCTTTCCCCCTGAATTTCTTAAAATCAGAATGTCTTAAACACTTACACTAGCAAATTCAATATTGAAGCACTTTTGAAATTAAAAAGAAAAAGTAGTTGATTTTTAAATCTAAATTTGCAGGTGATAAAATATCTTCTAATTAATGTCATTCATCACTTCAAAATCAAATTGTTTTCATCATTAGCAACCCTGGCCCACTGATAAGCTACTGGGCAAGACTTTTCTTAGCAGGAACTTGGCAAATTTTGGTTAACTGATGTTTAGTTTTTTACTTTTGATTTTTGCCTTTTGTTTGTTCTGTCAGTTGAATGGTACAGAGAGAATTTTCACAACTGGAAGAATGTCGAAAAGGCATTAGAACCCTTTCCAGTTCAGCCACCGTTTGTCTAATCAGGACAATTTTCAGAAAAAGAAGAAAATTAACCTACCTCAACAAGTGATATGTAATCAAGTAACCAAATGAAATGTCTGTCTTTTCATTTGTAATTGGATTCATGACTCTTTGTATAAAATTCAAATGCAAAATGCCTCAGTCTTTAGAAGAATTATAGTATTGGCATAGGATTGAAATATCAAAATTCTTTCAGAAACCTTTTCTCTTGACAATTAGGAACCAGTAGGCATAGAAAGACTATTCCATGGAAGTGGGCTGTGAAGAAGCAGTCTCCTGCCTCAGAACAAGGACAGTAATCGCTCTAGGCAGATGACAGCTTTGCTGGCATTGAACTCAGTCAGCTTCCTAACCTTTCCCACTGCCTAGAAGGTCTCTGAAGTTTTTATTTTTAGGCAGTAAAAGATGAGCCTTATGCCCTAATTCATCTTTTTTTTTTTTTAAGGTGTAATATTGTGCTACAATTGCTTTAAAAATGGAAGAAAATGGAAGCACATTTTAACTTTTGATAATTTTGTAAAATTGATAAATGTTTTTTCAAAGACATAGTTTTTATATTTTCAAAATCATTGAACTATGTATAAGTAACTCATGTCAGAAAACTTTTATCATGTATTTACCTTTTAAAATTATTTTATTTATAAAATCAATATATTAATGTATTTAATATAGAGTATGGCTTTTCTAGTAATGCGTTTTTATTTTACTGTAGAAAAAATTTTTAAGTATTTGATTATATATATTTTAATTTCTCTCTCCCCTAAAGACTAAGATGATTTGAAAAAGTCAGTGATTGGATATTGTGTTGAGAAAGGAAGAGTCAGATTATGCTCAGCTTTCTAGCTTCAGTGCATGACTGATGGCTTGTTTTCTGTGTGACGCAGGAAGCAAGTTCATTAACTCGGGTGTTTGAGGGAGGGGGAGAGGAGTGGAGTAGGGACCCCGAGGATGTGGAGACTGGGAAAAGAATAAGCAGATCCAAAATTAGTAAGAGGATTTGCCAGACAGGAATGAAACACAAACTGAAGTCGAACACTGTAACTTCAGAATTCTGAGATGTGTAAAAATAGTTAGATTGAGCTAGAATTGGGCATAGCATGAATCAGATGGGGCAGAAAGACTAGAATATGAGATGAACTGAAATAATGCTCCACTGGGCTTAGTTGTGTTGGGAAGAAAATGCTTCTTGGAGGTAGCTCTAAAGTAAATGGAGACAGGGAGTGGGCATAAGGGAGGGGCAGTGAGAGCTCAGGGAGGCCAGGAAGTTACAGGCAGAACATGGGGACAACTGAAAACAAATAGTCTTTGGTGGAGTTTGTTCATTGAGTGTAGATGATAAAATAAAAACACCTCATGTCATTTGTTCTGCATTATTCTGCGTCATTTGTTCTTGCACATATTTTTATGTACTCTTTTATTTCCAGCTTTAATCAGTATGATTAACTTTGTCATACATATAGTCTCAGAAGATGACCTTGACAGGCATTAAGAAACATAACGAAAAACCAGCATATAAAACAAAATTTTATGCAAAAAGTATAAAAATATTTAATGCTTCACATCATTTGTCATCAGGGAAATGCAAATTAAAACAACGGAATACCACTATATACCTATTAGGCCGAAATCTGGAACACTGACCCTACCAAATGTTGACAAGAATATAGAGCAACAGGTATTTACATACATTGCTAGTGAGAATGCAAAATAGTACGGCCACTTTGAAAGACAGTTTGGCAGTTTTTTACAAAACTAAACATACTGTACAATCTAGCAGTCACATGCCTTGGTATTTACCCAAAGTAGTTGAAACATATGTCCACACAAAAACCTGCACAAAGATGTTTATAGCAGCTCTATTTATAATTACCATAACTTGGAAGCAACCAAGATGTCTTTTAGTCGGTTAATAGATAAACAAACTGGTACATCCAGACAATAGAGTACAGTACTTATGAAGCTCTAAAAAGAATGAACTGTCAAGCCATGAAAAGACAAAGAGGAAATTTAAATTTATATTACTTAGTGGAGGCAGCCAATTTGAAAAAGCAATATACTGTGTAATTCCAATTATATGACATTCTGGATAAGGCAAAACTGGAGATGATAAGATCAGTGGTTGCCAGGGTTGGGGAGGGAGGATGAATAGAGCACAGAGGACTTTCAGGGTAGTGAAAATACTCTGTATAAAAATAGAATGATGGATATGTCATTATACTATTTGTCCAAACCCATAGAATGACAACTTTGGGTGATTATGATGTGTCAATGTGGGTACATCCTTGGTAAAAAAATAATAATACTCTACCGAGTGATGATAATGGAGGAGGCTATGCATGTGTCAGGACGAGGGAGTATATAGAAAATTACTTCCCTCTCAGTTGTGTGGTAAACTTAAAACTGCTCTAAAAAAAATAGTCTTAAAAGTTAAAAGCAACCTTAGAAATGAAGAAGTTGATTGAGTTACGGTGAAGTTTTGGTCTCCAACATGCCTTTGAAAGATCTCTCCCTTTCCTCACCTGCTTTATACTCAGCTTGCTGCCATCTGCCTTCCATTCCACCTCTGCTGCAGGAATTCTCCATATAGTCACCAATGTCAGATTCCCCTGAGAAATGTTATCTAATCCCGTGACTTCGATTACCAACCTTTTTTTTTGTTTTTCGTTCAATTAAAAAAAAATCTCTAGGCAAGCTCTCTTTTTCTGATCTCCAGTTTAAAATCTCATATATTCAATTGCCTACTTGATATTTGCAAATTGATGCCTGTGGAACACTTAAATCTCAATATGATTCTAAGCTCCTAGTGGTCCCTGTTTTAATAAGTGGAACCTGATAGTCATCCTTGATGTTTTCCTCTTCTTAATATCCTAATATCTTCCTCTATCGTATTTCCCCCATTCTGACATCTCCTTTTTATGTTTTTAAATGGCATGCTTATACTGCTTTTATTATCAGCTTCTTGTAATAATAGATGAGGATTTAGCTCTCATGCATACCAACTCACCTTCCCGTTTTCTTCCAATACTCCCCAAACTAAAACCATATTTAATTTTAATAAAGTTAATATTTATACTATAATTATATAGTATCACGAAATCAAGAGATATGTTATGATTATAATTCCTGTCTCATAAAATTTTATTTTTTCCTCGATAGTAGTACTTGTCTCATTTTTCTTTTCACTGTTTTAGGTACTATTCTTAATTTTTCTATCAGGTCTCATTAAGTTCCTAAATGCTCAGCTATTTCAGATAATCTGTGGATTTCATTTTATTCTCTGGGATTTAACTCTTGGAGCCCTATATCCTCCAATCTGAATGACCAAATTTAATTGATACCAAGATCTATACTTCTTCACTATTAAACATTTCTGAAATTGGGAAATCTGTAACGTTTTAAGATAATTTTTAGTACTTTGTCTTAGTGATAAGTAATTGTACTTCTTCAAACTGATAGTGTCATATATTTGCTGGAATACAGCAATGGCATTTTAGAACCCAGTATATCAGTGCCACAATGTCTCACACTGGGCAGCAATGCCAGGTGCCCCTTTGCACTCAGTCATGGACTGGAGGCTGCTCAGAAGGAACTGAAGTGAATCCTGAAGGCTCTGTAGGCAGAGGCTGTCAATTGACTGAACTCTTGGCAGCTGAAAGGCAGATACTCTTGAAGGGAAATCCAAGTGGTGGGACCTCTATAGCTGCCACTTGGCTAGCTCTTTGCCGTCGGGGAATGGTCTTGGGGCTCATCAGCTCCCTAGGCAGACTTTAGACAAAATCATTTCATTTTAGTCCAATGTCTCTCTCTCCTCCCTCCCCTGAGCGCACCTTTCACAACACTGGGTGCTGCAGGAGTTAAGCCTCTCAGTGCTTCTGTGAGGTCAACTAGCCCAACCTAGAGGTTCTGAGAAGACTTTCTGAAGATGACATTCGAATTGTGTCTTAAAGGATGAACTGGAGTTAGTAAAGGAAACAGGACAATTCCAGGCAGAGAGAATAACAGAATGAAAGTACCAAGTTGTAAATAATACTGTGTGTTCAGGGCACTACTGGTCATCAGTATTACTCTAGCACACTCGTTCTCACAATGCGTGCCCAGCCTGTTAGGGAAATGCAAGTAAAAACTAAAGAGATACAACTTCACACCCATTAAGAAGGATATCATTTCAAGAATCACAAAAATAAGTGTTGGTAAGGAGAAATTGAAACCCTCACACATTTCTGGTTGGAATGTAAAATAATGCAGCCACTGTGGAAAATAGTATGGCAGATCCTCAAAAAGGTAAACATAAAATTACCATATGATCCAGCAATTCCATTTTTAGATATATACCCCAAAGAATGGAAAGCAGGATCTCAAACAGATACTGTACACCAGTATTCATAGCAGCATTATTCACGACGGCCAGGAGGTGGAAACAACCCAAAGGTACATCTACAGATGAATGGATAAATAAGACTTGTTATATACAAACAATGGAATGGTGTGATTCTACTTATATGAGGTAAATTCATAGACATAGAAAGTAGAATAGAGGTTTACCAGGGGCTGGGAGAAGAGGGAAAGGAGAGTTATTGTTTAATGGGTACAGAGTTTGTCTGGGATGATGAATGAAAAAGTTCTGAAAGTGATTATGTGATAGTTGCACAACATTGCGAATGTATATAATGCCACTGAACTGTACACTTAAAAATAGTTAACATTGTAAGTTTATTGTTATGTATATTTTACCACAATAATTTTTGAAAACAATTATTTCTGAAAACAGACCAACAGCATTGGCATCAGTTGTTAGAAATGCAAATTCCTGGGTACCACCCCAGACTTACAGAGTCAGAAACTCTGTAAGGGGGGACAGTGATTCTGATGTACCTTAAAGTTTGAGAACCAGTGCTCTATAACGTGAGGTGGGGAAATTAGACTAGAGAGGAATGCGGTAGCCAGGTCATAGATGGCCTTGTCTGCCATGAAAAAATGCTGGGACTTCATCCTGCCAGCAGAGAGCTAACTCAAGATTTTACAGAAGAAATTAACATTGTTAGGTGTGTAGGATTTATCTGTTTCCTGATTTCAATAATAACGTGTACTCATTGCA